TCCCCTTGTAGGAGGACGCGCCCGACCTGATCCCAAGGCTGCCCCCGCACGCCATCCGAGAGGCCCAGTTTGCTGACGGGTGCGGCCGGGGCCTTCCCCTGGCGCACGTGCCGCGGTCCTTCGGGCTCTTCCGGGCTGGGCGGAGGTTGCTGCCCTCCCCCCCCCACCCCCCACTTCCTCTGTGGCTCCCCTTCTCTCCTCCACTGTCCCCCTAATCTGCCCCTAATCTGCCCCCCTTTTTTTTGTTTCTCTCTCTCTCTCTCTCTCTCTCTTCCCCCCCCTCTGTCGGTCTCAGTCCTCTTCCTATCTCCCTTATAACTTTGTTTTGTGTGCTCTCTTGCTTCTTCTCCTTACTACTCTTATTATTATTCTTAACATGTATTCTGACGAGCATTCATAGTGTAAGTCGTTTTTTTTTATCTATTTTGTTTCTCTATCTCAATCTCTCTCTCTTTCTCTTTCTCTCCGGGCGCTCTCGCTCTCTCATGGCTATTTTTGTATGGTGCGATTCAGCAGCTTCACATGCGTTGTTGTTCAGCTCCTCAGAATGTTACGTGCTGGTTTGCACTTGTATCCATGTTTTGTTCTTTGCCGGCACGCAGTGGAGCATGTACTGGTTGCGACAGTTGCGCGTTCTTTGCGCGTCAGCGTGTCGATGCACTTGTCTTGAGCGCCCTGCTCAAGCCTTGGAGCAACATACTTGCTCCGCTCGGTGTCCTTGACAGTTTCCACGTTGCGTTTCGATGCGCTTCATTGCTAGCGTCCCAAATTGTTCAATTCGAGCGCGCGTGTGTGAGTTTGTGCGTGTGCTTGTTCGCGCGCATGGGAATTCATGCACCGTGCAGTGGAATTCCTTCTGCCGCGTATGCTTTGTCATGTGGCCTCATCCGTGTATATTCTCATCCAGATATAGACATATGTGTGTGTTTTTCAGTGTGCACCATGTTGCATGTGCGTGAGCAGCTGGTTTCGCAGTTTGCTGCCTTCATTGCTTTCCGTTTCCTGTTTCAATTGGCGTCCGATGCAGTATTATCCGCGAGGTTTCCAAGTGGTTTGCATGAAGTGCCGCGAATATGTTTCATCACAGTCCACACACGGTGCATTACACACGTGCAAGCGTCGCTCTGCGATAGTTCAAATCATTGTTGTGAGTGTTGGTGCACAGTACCTTTACTAGTATTTCCCACAAGACGCTATGCGAACCATTCCTAACAAGAATTGCGAATTTGCCCGAAACGCATTCAATCGAATTATGTTTTGAGCATCGCTCGGTCAACATGGCGTTTCCCTCGACCGACTTCGCCCAAATGGATTTTTCCCTCCACGGCGAACCGTTTTTGCATGCTAGGTTGGTTGGGGTATCCAGGTATCTTTCAGGGCAAAGGGCACGCTTCGAAGAAGCGAGAACAGAAAGGCGAGGCATGTTTGTATCTTCACTGGCATACGACGTAGTCCATGAACAGAGCCAGCACCCGTACCTATGCGAACCCCATATTCAAATGGGGTGGAACTCTGTGGGGGAGTGTGGGGGGCTAGGGGCGTGTGTTGTCGGATGTGGGTCCCCGCTCGAACGTGAGCCCCCCTGAGGGTCCAACACTTCGCACCCACACCTGCAGCGCCTCCATCGCCTTGCCCTTCCCTACTCCTCCTCCCTGTAGGCTTGAGTGCGTGTTGTTCTGTCGTCAGCTGGACGCTGGCCTGAAACCTAGGAGTGAGCCTACGGTAGGTTCGCGTCGTGTCGACCGGCGGCGACCCCGCCGCCAGCGCTCAACGTTGAACGCCGGCGGCGGCCCACAATCAGTTGGTGGTGAACGATCCTGACGTTTCGGGCGATCGATCAAGATCGAACGATCCCCGCGATGTCGGCAACCAATGCCGGGGTCGACACGACAAGGAATAGTTGGTCACAAGTGGTACTCGACGGTGTAATAGGTTCAACCGAGTTCGATCGGACGTGATCGATCCGCGACCAGTAGAAAGTGTATGTTGGAGTGGGACGTGCCATTTTCAGCTGCCGTTCCATCCCGCCCACCTCTGGCGAGGAGATTAAAGTTACTTGGGCGGGTACGAAATGCCGCGGCCTCAGCGTCTCTGACTTCTTTGCGCAGGGGTCTCCCAGGATTTGTCCGATCCGCGCGCCGCCGAGATAGGGTGTCTGCGCAGAAAAATTGTTGTCTAGCTGCCAGGATCTGGCGGCCATTGGACTTGCAGCAGAAGGCAGTTTGACATGTCTTACGCTCAGAGATGGATGGGGAGAGGTAGGGGAGAGAGAGCAAGACAGAGATAGAGCGAGAGAGTGACAGAAAGACACTCCTATGGAGATATGATCAGAGAGCGAGAGAGAGAGAGAACAAAGGTCAACACATCGGACAGAGAGAGAGGGAGAGTGAGAGTGAGAGAGAGAGAGAGAGAGAATGAGAGAGAGAGAGAAAGAGAGACAGTACCCGAGCGTATTTGCTCACATGCTCCTCGCGTTCGCTTCCCGCCAGCCCGTCTTTGTGTCACTGCTGCCACGAGCCATGGTGCCCATTGGATTTTGGGAGCCGTTGGGCGCTTCCGGGTATTAAGCGCAAGCCTGCGTTGCCCCTCGTCGTGGTGCACCGCCCGTGGATGAGACAGATTTCAGGAGGGGAAAACGCACAGACACAATTCATCGCCAACTCCCCAGAGAATATCGGAACATATGGGAAGTGGGGGGGAGGACAAAAACCCAGAAAATACGGGAAAATATAGGGGCTTGTTATGTGTGCGTATGTATGTATGTATGTATGTATGTATGTATGTATGTATGTATGTATGTATGTATGTATGTATGTATTAATGCAATGTAATGCAATGCAATGCAATGCAATGTAATGTAATGTAATGTAATGGAATGTAATGTAATGTAATGTAATGTAATGTAATGTAGGTGTGTATGTATGTGTGTATGTATGTATGTATGTACGTATGTATGTAGGTAGGTATGTAGGTATGTAGGTATGTAGGTATGTAGGTATGTAGGTATGTAGGTATGTAGGTATGTAGGTATGTAGGTATGTAGGTATGTAGGTAGGTAGGTAGGTAGGTAGGTAGGTAGGTAGGTAGGTATGTATGTATGTATGTATGTATGTATGTATATGTGTGTGTGTCCCAGGGCCCCTTCAGGAGCGTCCGGGTATGAAACGCAAGCTTGGTGCACAGCCGCGGATGAGATAGGATTGTTGCCCAGGCTTACCTGATGGGCCAAGACCCCCAAGTGCTTGGTAAAGCCATCGGGCTTGCTATCTGATGCTATCAGCATCCTGCATGCAGGAGCAGTTTCTTGGGCCCTCCGAGGCCATCAAAGAGGTATCGCGGGCCAACAAAAACGTGTCCCGGGGAAAGGGTCGAGAGGTCGGCAGACGCCACATGGAACAAGTCAGGACTGCAGGTCAACCTTCTCCTTCGAACGAAGGATTGCGAAGGATTGCGAAGGAACGAACCTTCTCCTTGAACGAAGGATTGCGAAGGATTGCGAGGTTTTTTCGCAATCCTTCGCAATCCTTCTCTTCCCCGTCCTCCTCGCTCTGGTGGAGCACTTGCGTGGCCTCCTCGGTACAGTCTTGGTGCAACGTGGGGTCTCCCTTCAGGGCATCAACCGTGCGGCACCAGCCGTCGAGCTCAGGACAGAGCCTGGGGCTTCGTGCGGCAACCCGATCCCCTTGTCTGATGTGGTTGATTTGCTAGCTTTCCGTGTCAGCTTGGCCACGCGCAGAGGGGGGTAGGGGGAGGGGGGCAGGCTTCTTAGAAGCACCCAAGCACCCCTTCTTCTCAGAGGGCGTGGGCCCTCTCTGCACACGCAGGGCCGGCGCCCTCCAAGAAGCAGCCCCCCCCTAAGAGACATCCCCCCCTATCCCTATTGCCCCCCTTCTGCGCGCCGCGAGCCACCGCTCCGAACAGACGCGTGGCCCACTCGCGGCGTGCGGGGCGCTCCTGCGACTCTCCCTGGGGCGCCTCCGGGCCCAGGCGCGGCCCCGTGGGCGCTCCCCGGGGGCGCGCCTCCGCTCGCTCGCTCCGTGCCTTCCTCGGGCGCGCTCCCAGGCCCTCCTCGGACGCTTTCTTCGGTGGGCTCGTCTCCGAGGCGGGAATTATTCGTTCATGACCACCGCCTGGAGGGTCCGTTTTCGGAGCCTCGGCAGGCGGTGGATATGGACATATTCAGGCCCCCGGGGCCCGAAGTATCTCCATATCCACCGCTCGCTAGGGCACCAGGACGTCGGTTCCCAGGCGGTGGATCTGGATAGACCCCCGCCTCGCATCCTTGCGCCATCACTGTTTCGGTGCCCCCGTCCTCGGGTTTTTTGTGGAGGGAGGGTCATCCCAAGGTGGGGCTGGGGATCGGGCCCAGCTGGACGCTCCAGAGTAACGCGCTTCCGTCTTCCAGGGGCGGTTCGGAGCGATGTTCCTTCGAACCCCGCCTTGACCCCTACCCAGTGTGCCCCCCCCGGACGTGGTCGGTGAGCCAGCAGGGAGTGGAAGCTGGGGGACTCGGCATGGGGTGTTAGCAACGGCAGGCGCCACAGGGACTGTTAGCAGTGCATTTTGTGAGGGGTGGGAGTAAGGCAGCTCGTCTTTCGCGCTTGTCAGCCCATGCGTCCCTTCTCTCCATTCGCATTTCCCCAAGCAGGCTTGCCCAAGGGTCACTTACGTGTCTGTGAAGAACCGATGGGTGGGAGGCCTGGCCAGCCTGCGTTCCTCTGGGTTGCTCGGTTTTGTTTCCTTGCAGTGGCGTTCCTCGGGGTTGTTTGGCCGTGTCTCCTTGGACTGGCCTGAACTGGTGGGTGACTGGCCTGTCCGGCCAGTGTTCCTCGGGATTGTTGCCCCTGGTTTCCTTACTTACAGTGGTGGTTCTCGGGGTGGCTTGTTGTTGTTCCCTTACGTTGCCCTTCCAGGGTTGGGGTGCCTTGTTTCTTGACTGCGGCTTCGCCTGGAGTTGTTTGGTCTTGATTCATTGTTTATTCCCCTGATTGCTTGGTCTTGTTTCCTTTGCAGCCCCAGGGTTGATTGGCCTTGTTCCTTACCACATCCCCCTGTTTGCTAGGTCTTGTTTCCTCACTGCATTCCCCGGGTTGCTGGTCTTGATTCCATGCAGTACCAAAAATACCCAGCAGTGCTAAGCAATGCGAAGTGACGCCAAGCAATGCAACGCAATGCCAAGCAGCACCAAGCAAAGACGAACGACGCCAAGCACTGCCAAGCAATACCAAGCAACGTCAAGCAATGCAAAGCACCGCCTATCAACGCCAAGCAATGCCAAGCAACGCCCTGCTGTGGGGCCACAGAGGTATCGGAACATAGCAGCGCAGATCCGCTTAGACCTCTGACACAACGACAGCATCACGAGCACCAAACTATGGGCTAATTAGGAAGACGTGCCAAGTTACCGGCGCAAATGCGCTCGTGGGTATAGGTGCAGACACAGAAACGGAACCGTCGTATATGCGGGCGCGGGCGCGTGAACAGGCGCAGACACAGACGCAGAGACAGACCTGGCTAATTGCATTTGCTTGCCAACATGCCAGTGTGTGCTCGCGCGTGCATGCTATCTAGTCAACGCCAAGCCTAGCTATCGGTGGGCTAAAATTAACCGGTGGGTGCGAGGCCTGCTCCAGTCAGCGTTGCGGCGTTGCTCGCCTTGTTTCCTGACAGTGGCATTGCTCTGGGCTTCTTGGTCTTGCTTCGTTATAGTGGCGTTCTTCGGAGATGATTGGTTTTGCACCCATCGCCTCGAGGTTCATTGGCCTTGTTTCCTAACAGTGGCGTTCCCCAGAGTCTCCTTTGCCTTCTATCCTTACTGTGGCGTTCCTCAAGTTTGCTTGGCCTTGTTTACAACGCTAAGCAATGCGAATCAACGCCAAGCAACGCCAAACAATACCAAGCGATGCCAAGCAACGCAACGATACGGAGTGCCAATCAATGCCAAGCAACGCCAAGCAAAGACAAGCAACCCCAATCAATGCCACACAATGCCAAGTAACCCAAGCAAGACCGAGCAGCGCCAAACAACGCCAAGCAATGCAAAACAACCTAAGCAATGCAACGCAACGCCAAGCAACGCCAAGCAACGCTGAACAATGCCAGGCAACGTCAAGCAAAAAACAAGCAACGCTAAGCAACGTCAAGCAATGCCAACCAGAGCCAGGCATCGCCGAACAGCACCAAGCAAATGCGCCCCTGCAAGCGGACGCTCCCCCCGCATCGGGTTCGCGCCAGCCTCGCTCTCTCTGGGCTGTGTGTGTGGCCTCCCGTGCCTGCCTGGGATGGGGCGCGGGCCACCGCAAACAGAAAGAGAGGCAGCCGTCCATACAGTCGGCCCGGATTGGTAGGTCGACCCTTGCAAGTCAAGGGTACTACCCCTGTGCCTTGTCTTCAGAGGCCCGCGCCTTTTACATTCCTGTGGCGAGGTGGCCCTCGGAGGGGTCTTTTGTCCTGTCGTGCCCTGTCCACTCGAGTCCGACTGTCTAACAGGACGGGCTCCGCCCTGGCCTGGCCATGCCGTGCCAGTGCCAGGCAGCGCCGAGCAGCGCCAAGCACATGCGCCCCTGCCAGCGGAAGCTCCCCGGTCCTCCCTCTCTCTGGGCTGCGTGTGGCCCCCCGTGCCTGCCTGGGAGGGGGCGCGGGCCGCCGCAAACAGAAAAGGGAGACATCCGTGATGACATGGCGGGCTCCGCCCTGGCCCGGACACGCCGTGCTGCGCGGTGCGCTTGGCGCTGCGGCGGCCCAGGGGGGGAGGCTCGGAGGGGCCCCCCTCCCCGCACCGGGCGCCGACGGGGCGGCGGTCGACGTCTTCGGGCACTGCAGAGGTGGGCTGAGGTGTCGGGCCTGTCCCTCTACAGGAGGGATATGCGAGAATAGTAGAAACAGTCAGGGGACGATTGTTTGACCATTTTTGCCCCCTTGGGGGGGTATTTTTGCGTATTTAGGATAGTAGAAAAAAGAGTCAGGGACGATTTTTGGACAACTTTTGCCCCTTTCGGGGGGGATCTTGTGAGTACATTGTTTGTTTCGCCCCAAATCCCCCTGGAAGGGGGGCGCGCCCGACTTGAAGGCAGGCAGGGCCGCGCCGCCTCGAGGCCTCGAGCGCGCCTGGGAGTGGCATCCTCTATCCTCCATCCTCCTCCTCCTCCTCCTCCTCCTCCTCCTCCTCCTCCTCCTCCTCCTCCTCCTCCTCCATCCTCCATCCTCCATCCTCCTCCTCCTCCTCCTCCTCCTCCTCCTCCTCCTCCTCCTCCTCCTCCTCCTCCTCCTCCTCCTCCTCCTCCTCCTCCTCCTCCTCCCCCCTGCGCCGGCAGGGCGGCGCTGGCGGGGCAAGGCGCCACGGGGGCGGCAGAAGTGCGGGGCGGGCGGCACCGCCGGCGGGCGGAGGGCCGCAGCTCCGGGCGCCGAAGCCTCAGGAGGGGAAAAGCACACAGACACAATGCATCGTCGACTCCCCAGAAGATGTGGGAAAATGTGGGAAGTGGGGGGGAGACGAAAGTCCAACAAGCTTGCGACACTATGGGGGATCCTGTTAGTTGTGTGTGTGTGTGTGTTTCTTCGTGTGCCCCTGGGCCCGTTTAGAAGCATCAGGGCCGAAACTCGGGTCGGGGCTCTAGAGCTCGGGCTCGTTGTCTCGGGAGTGCGAGCCCGAGCTGCTCCCCAGGCCCGAGCTGCCCTGGATATCCCGGGCGTCCAGAGCCCCAGATCAGCAGGGGCGATTCCGGTCAGGGCCAACTCGGGTTCGGCTCTCGGGAATCCGAACCCGGGCTACCTTCATGCCAGCCACAACTGGGGGAGTTGTGGTCCTTACCCCCCTGGGGGACCCATCGATTTCGACACCCCTCTCGAGAGATCGTCGACGCGATGGGTTCCCCCAGGGGGGGTAGGATCACAGCTCCCCCAGCTATGGCTGGTCGGACATTGGGCTCGAGTTGCCCCTGATAACTCGGGCGCCCAAGAAGCTGGTGGAAGTACGGTGGGGGCGCGCATGGGGCGGGGCTGGGGCACGAAGACACCCACCCGCCTCTGCTCGCTCTGCGTCGGGCTTCGGCCTTGGCACAGTGCCTGCACCGGCGCCGTCCACGTGGCAGCTCAGAGACCCGCGCGAGGCCTCATGCGCCGAACGATCATTGGGGGTAGTGCGCTTGGTGGAAGTACTGTGGAAGCTCCTTCTCCCAAGCCCCACCGTCAGAATCGGTCCTCGAAGAGGTCGCACTGTTTTTGGGATTCGTGGTCTCTGGCGTCGTCCATTGTGGCTTCTGCTACGTGTTCTTGGGATGTTTCGGGTAACCAATCCGGAGCTGTGAGTTGTCTTCCCGGAGGCGTGGCCATCAGTGGTGCGCCGGGCACCCCCTCTCTCTTGGCTTCTTGGGCTCCGCATGCGAGAAGTAAGACGGGAGGCTTGCTCCATCCATGAGGAGGACCTGCTCCCAGGCCGCACTGGGCAAGCTTGGGTCCAGTTGTCCGACCCGTCCCCCTCAGTGGGCGCCGATGCCGTCTCCGTCGGGCTTCGTGGCGCGCATCCCCACTTTCGAGGGGGCAGGCTGGCGACGCCCAGGAACCCTGGACGTCTCTTGACATGGGGACAGGTCTGTACGATGCCAGGAGGAGGAGGAGGAGGAGGAGGAGGAGGAGGAGGAGGAGGAGGAGAAGGAGAAGGATGAGGATGAGGAGGAGGAGGAGGAGGAGGAGGAGGAGGAGGAGGAGGAGGGAGGAGGAGGAGGAGGAGGGAGAGGGACAGGGAGAGAGGAGGAGAAGGGGACCGGGGCATCCGATGTTTGTTTTTTCTATACGGGGTCCCCAGAAGTCCCGACCCTTTCCCCAGGGCTGGCTTCCCCATCCCGAGTCGCTTTGTTGACGGTGCCAGGGCCCGAGGATGCCGAACACTGCCCCACATTTTTCTCCGCGCGAGCATGTTTGGCGAGGGGTGCGCGCTTGTCGTGTGCAAGGCCGACTCTGACAGCCCGTGCTGTTCGCCGCCTCCCGCCCGGAGCCTGCTTCGGCGGCCACGGCCAGCGGGCCGCTGACGCCAAGGCCCGAAGTGCAAAGAGGCCCTGTGCTACCCCATGGACGAGGCGCCTCCGCGGCGCGGCGCCGGCGCGCGCAGAGGAGCCAGGCAGGAGGAGGAGGAGGAGGAGGAGGAGGAGGAGGAGCAGCAGCAGCAGCAGCAGCATGAGAGCTCCTCCTCCTCCTCCTCCTCCTCCTCCTCCTCCTCCTCCTCCTCTCCTCCTCCTCCTCTCTCCTCCTCCTCCTCCTCCTCCTCCCCTCTCCTCCCCCCCCTCCTCCTCCTCCTCCTCCTCCCCCCCTCCTCGTCCGCCTCCTCCTCCGCCTCCTCTTCCTCCTCCTCCTTCTCCTCCTCCTCCTCCTGCTCCCCCTCCTTCTCCTCCTCCGCCTCCTCCTCCTCCTCCTCCTCCTCCTCCTCCTCCTCTGGAGCGCTTATCCGGGATGGATTCGCCCTCCGTGTGCCATGGTCCCTCGTCCTCGGCATCGGTGCAGGATAGTAGTAGAGGACGAGGTAGAGAGAGAGAGAGAGAGAGAGGTCTGGGCATCTCCTGCTGTGCTTGCCGGAGGGGTTGTGTGTGGAGTTGGAGGGTCCACCGCCACGGAGTGTCCGCACCCTCTCTACCTCGGAGTCGTGCCGCACCTCGGGTTGCTCCTTCCCGCCCCCGCGGGCGGCAAACAGAAACCCGGGGCAGGACTCGGGAAGCATCTGGTGCTGATGCTCGGGGGGCCCGCGAGAGAGAGCACCGCGCCGTCGACGTCGGGGGTGCCCTTGAGTGCCCAGGGCTAGCTTCGCAGGGTGGCCGGAGTGCCAAGCCGAGCGCTTCCGTGACGGAGTATGAGGAGCAAGACAAGGAGGGAGGAGGAGGAGGAGGAGGAGGAGGAGGAGGTGGAGGAGGAGGAGGAGGAGGAGGTGGAGGAGGAGGAGGAGGAGAAGAAGAAGGAGGAGGCGGAGGAGCAGGTTGAGGATGAGTGAGATGAGGAGGGGGCAGGGATGAGGAGTGAAGATGACGATGGTCAGCGACGCCCTACCGCAACTTTCCTCGACGCTGCTGACTACACGCAAGTGGACGGAAGCCAGAGACGTCTCCCCCGCTCGACTTCTGGTGGAGGCCGTGTGCTCGGCGATCGGCCTCGGCGGCAGGACAAAGGGCCGCTAGCGGAGGTAGGGCACCTGCGGCGGCGGTGGCCAAGCGCTTCGAGCATGCGGCCAGACGAAATCAAGCGGTCAATCTGGCAGGCGACGCTGCCGTGGTTCCGACTTCTTCGCTCTGCAGCGTACAGGTCACGAGGCTCGCCAAGATTACGGGACCGTCTGCAGGAAGCAGATCTGCATCTCTCGGAGCCGTGCAGAGAGGAGCGCGAGCAGCCCTTCTGCGAGGGTGGGCGGTCAGCTCCACGGAGCAGGGCGACCCCATGCAGTCCCGCGGCACGGCGCAAATCACCACCGAGACACAGCGCTCAGAGGACAGTGAGACCAACAGCTTCTACAACGCAGCCGTCGCCCCCGTCTCACCTGATGTGCCCGGCAGCCAGTACCAGCCAATACACCAGTCGCTGCCGTGGAGACTGCCCTCTTCACGGCGTTTTCGAAGAACTCAGACACATGTTTGACGCATCGCGTATCCCAAACAGTCCGTCCAGAAGCGAGTCCCAGGGGAGTTGTCGGGAGGAGGGGCGTAGATAATTAAGCAGCTTGTGGAGCCAATCGGTCAATACTGGTGTTATTTGAGACCTCTGCCAGAATCGTAGAGGCCTGTCAAATCCATATTGGAGCTCTCTTGGGGCCCGCTTGGGAACTCTACAAGCCCTCTTAGGAGTCTACTTGAGGGCCTTGCGGGATCTCTCGGGCTATCTTTGGGAGACATCAGTCAACAAATGTGGCGTTGCTAATTTGCCCGCTCCCGTCGGAGCCCGACAAATCGCCGCTTGCGGCCCTCTTGGTAACGCTCTTGGGACGCTCTTGGGCGTTTTGGGGCCGTCTTCGAGCCTGTGTGGCCCTCTCTTGGGGTTCTCATCAGAGATGTTCGAGGCGTCTCGAGGCCTTCGAAGCCGATCGAGAGCGAGCAGGGGGTATCTGAAAATCATCGTAACACCTTAGGTGCTCTTTTTTGGGGGTGGGCGGAAGGGGGGGAGCTTGGCCCACAGTCAGGCGATGAACTTGTTAGTGAGAATTTTGACGAGGTAAGTCCGTCCAGTGGTCATCATTCGTTTGGACCGCGGTGGAGGCGTGGCTCGCTCTGGCTGCCCACTCGTGCGACAGTCGTTGCCGACAGAACGACGAGCGACGGCGACGACCGGCAAATGACGACGGCGGCGACGACGACCGACCGACCGATCTGCCCGATGTGGTATCCCCATGAGCATTTCACGACCAACAGTATCACGGACTGTACCTGGGTTCTCGTCGGGGGGCTTTGTGCCCACGTGGAGCTGTTTTGGCGCAGGCTTGAGCTTTTTGGGGCTCTCCTGTGCCATCCTGGAGGCCATCTTGGGCTATCTGGGGCCATCTTGCAGCCACCCTGGGCCATCTTGGACCCTCTGCGGTCAGAAACTGTTGCTTAGCGTGTCGCGCCGCCCGTGCTGGCCCACCACGCCTCGGCGCGACATGCTAACCACGTCCCCATCTCCAGGCATCCACGGTCCGAGCTTGCCCCGAGCCTCCCGCCCCGGAGCGGAGCGACACGCTATCAGCTCGCACGGGAAACCATGGCGCCGGGGCCGCCGCCGCGACATGCTAAGCACAAGCACCCGACCGAGACCTCTCGCGACACCCTGCTTCCGACCGCATGGGAGGGCTTCGCCCAACAAGGCGGTCGGACCCAGCGGCCGATAGGCGGCCACATTGCCGGCGTAAGGTGAGGTGGACCCCAAGACGGCCCAAGACGTCGTCAGCACGTCCCCATATGGCCAGAAAAGACTAGATACGACAAGACACGACAATAGGAGACGAGTGCTTATATCGAGGAAGCGCAAACATGGATTAAAGCGCGTGGATTGGCGACTTATCACGTGCCCCCGCTTTCATACAACATCGACGCGCCCTGTGGCTATGTATTCCGGAACTGGCTGCATGTTTCGGAGGGGCAACGTTCCCCGAGCCGTGCCTGTGGCGCTCACGCGCCAGATCCACGGATCCCGAGTCCATGTCAGCGCATGCCCAATTACGTTGGCACGACAAGACATGTTCCAGGCTGGCTCAAGATGGCGCCAAGATGTCGCCAACACGGACCCGAGAGGCAACTCTCGAAGACTTGTGCGTTCGATGCATCTTTGCTAGATGGCCTGCAGAGGGCTTCAAGAAAGCCCTAACACGGCCACTGAAAGGGCCGACTACAGCACCAGAGGCCCCTAAGCGGACCTCACGAGCACGAGAGCGACGACGGGGCCTCTAGGCCCCTCGAACTTGCCAGCGGTGTCCAGTGTCCTAGGCACCGCACAGTCCCCTATGCCGGCCGCAGGAGGTCCTGAAGGGCGCCCATGATTTTCAAGAGTCCTAGGGGGAGGAGTGCCCGCGCTTACGGTGTGTTAGCTAACGGCGAAGTAGGACATCCAATTGTAGGAAGGCGTGGTTCGTGGCCAAACCAAGTGTAGGAACTCGTGGATCGTGTTTTCCTACAACTCGCTGTGTCGTTGTCGTTCGGTACATTCGCACATTTGATACGTAGGACACGGTGTTACGTGATTTCCGACAGTTTGTTTTGCGTGAGCTCGGTGTCACAAAAACAATCTGTCCAACCGCACCCTTAACCAAGCGCGCCGTCAGCGCGGCCTTGGTGATTCGCCCCTCACAAGCAGGCGGGGGTGAGTTCCAGAGTGGAGGAGGACATTCAGAAAGTCAGACAGACACACAGACAGACAGACAGGCAGACAGACGGACAGACAGACAGACAAACAGACAGACAGACAGACGCCGCGCTAATACGGCGCACTTGCAGTGACAATTGCGTCACTTGGTGGCATACCTGGGCACACGCAAAAGAGCTAGATCAACGATTGCATTCCAAGCGGCTCGGTTGCAGACCATCGGGAGAAGTCTTTGTACCCAATGGAGGGCGATGCGTTGGCCTACAGGCAATGCGGATATGGGGAAGGGGGGAAGGGGAAGGGCGGGAGGAAGGAGGGAGGGAAGGAGGGGAGGAAAGAATGACTTATCTCGAGTTGCACAGTTCTGACGGTGGCACGCTAGTCCACATCGGTTCTCGATAACTCTTGGGGCCTGGCGTGGTGGCAGAGACACGGGTAGACCCCCCTAAACCACCTACGCCCAGAAGGCTGGTGGTATCAGAGAGGTGTGCTGGGGGCAGGTTTAACACCCAGGAGGCGATGATCGTGGGTCGATGCTTGTCCGTGCCCACCCCCGAGAGGAATGAGCTCCTCGAGGGGGTGTGGCCATAGACGGCGAGGATCGTGCTATTGCAGACAGTCAGAAGAGGAGAGGGTGCCGAAACCGCTACACAGCCCTCTTTTTTTCGCCGTGTTGGGCCTTCTCGGAGGCCGCGCCACGTCTGGGTCCGCCTCGAAATGTTGGTCAGAACGCGCCCTGGGAGAGGTCCAGGGAGTACACCCCCCCCCTTCGAACGTAGACTACCCTTAGGTCGGGCCTGTCCCTCTACAGGGGGAATATTCAAAAATAGTTAAACAATTGTGAGGGGGCTATTTTTTGGGTATTTTTGGGCATCTGCTGAGCATTTTTTATTATGTTTGTTTTTTCGTCCAAAATCCCTCTGTAGGGGGACAGGCCCGACATAAGACTACCCACCTAACGTAGCCCGGACCTCTGAGACACCGAACCCGGCCCGCGCGGAGTGGGTGTGACGCCTGCATTCTGGCGACCAGATCGTCTCGGAGTAATGCTCCTGCCTGCGCGTCTTCCACATCTCAGATTGAAAGTGTTGCTCTCGCCTGGGCGCCGGCGCCGGCGGTATCGGTACCCGTGGGCTTCTCAATACTGGACCAAGTTTGGGAAGCACTGCGAAGGCCTGGCGGCTGGTGCCGCCGATTCTGATCGGCGGCGGCGGCGACGACGACGATGGTTTTTGGCCTCTCTTGAGGCAGTTCCTGTTGTGTGTCTTCAGAGTGCTCGGCAGATCCGATGTGGACGCTCCGCGGGGGAGGAGGAGGAGGAGGAGGAGGAGGAGGAGGAGGAGGAGGAGGAGGAGGGAGGCGAGGGAGGAGGAGGCGGAGAGGAGGAGGAGGAGGAGGAGGAGAGCAGGAGGAGGAGGAAGGAGCAGGAGGAGCAGGAGGAGCAGGAGGAGCAGGAGGAGCAGGAGGAGGAGGAGGGGGAGGAGGGGGGAGGAGGAGGGGGAGGAGGAGGTGAGGAGGAGGAGGAGGAGGAGGAGGAGGAGGAGGAGGAGGAGGAGGAGGGGGAGGAGGGGGAGGAGGGGGAGGAGGAGGAGGAGGAGAGGAGGAGGAGGAGGAGGAGGAGGAGGAGGATAAGGAGAGGGAGGAGGAGGAGGGCAGGAGGAGGGGAGGAGGAGGAGGGGGAGGAGGAGGGGGGGGAGGATGGGAGGAGAAGGAGGAGGAGAGGAGGAGGAGGAGAGGAGGAGGAGGAGGAGGAGTGAGGAGGAGGAGGAGGAGGAGGAGGAGTGAGGAGGAGGAGGAGGAGGAGGAGGAGGAGGAGGAGGGAGGAGGAGGAGGGAGGAGAGGAGGAGGAGGAGGAGGGAGGAGGAGGAGTGGGAGGAGGAGGAGGGGGAGGAGGAGGAGGAGGAGGAGGAGGAGGAGGAGGAGGAGGTGAGGAGGAGGAGGAGGAAGGAGAGGAGGAGGAGGAGGAGGAGGAGGAGGAGGAGGGGAGGAGGAGGAGGAGAAGAGGAGGAGAGGGGGAGGAGGAGGAGGAGGAGGAGGAGGAGGGAGGAGGAGGAGAAGAAGAAGAGAAGAGGAGGAGGAGGAGGAGGGGAGGAGGAGGAGGAGGGGGAGGAGGAGGAGGAGGGGGAGGAGGAGGAGGAGGAGGAGGAGGAGGAGGAGGAGGAGGAGGAGGAGGAGGAGGAGGAGGAGGAGGAGGAGGAGGAGGAGGAGGAGGAGAGAGCGCCAGTGCAGAGGGCGGGCAGGGCCAGCGGCCGAGGGGGCTCGCGTCCTCGGCGGGCAGGGCGCGGGCCGCGCGCGGGTGCGAGCTCTCCAGGCCCTGAAGTCGGGCCTGTCCCCCTACAGGGGGACTTTCGACGAAAGATAAGAACATATTCCAAAAATAATCAAAAAATAATCAAAGAATAGTCTGGGGACTACTTTTTGAGTATTGTTTGACCTTTTTGGGATATTTTCTATTTTTCATCGAAAATCCCCCTGTAGGGGGACACGCCCGACATAACCAGACCCCCTCGAGCACTGGCAAAATCACGACGGGGGGGGTTCTACAATTTTCGGCCTCTGGGGGCCCTCACCGGGCCTCGGGACCGTCAAACAACGATTTTCTGGATGAGAAGCGGGTCCTGGAGAATGGGTCGACCCCCTCGAGCAATGGCAAAGTCACGACGGGGCGGGTTTCTATAATTTTCGGCCTCTGGGGGCCCTCACCTGGCCTCGGGACCGTCAAACAATGATTTTCAGGATGAGAAGCGGGTCCTGGAGAATGGGTCGAGACCTCGGGGATGTCGACGTCATGCAAAAATCATGACGTCGGGGGCCTGGGCTTGGAGGACAGGGCAGGGGGCACCTGGTTTTTGGCGGTGGGGATGCCGGCGAGGAGCGCTTCGGCGAGGGTTGGCCACTTCAGTGCAGGCTCTCTCGTCGTCGTTTCCCCCTCGGCATCGTCCTCCTCCTCTCCCTGGTTCCCTCGTCGTCCCGTCTGCCTGCCACAGGGTGGACAACACTTTTTCCGTCTTCCTGTCGGAACCAGGAGGCTGCGTTTGAAACGCGTTGTCTTCCGCGGCGTCGCGTTTTTGTTGTACCCGGGCGCACCTGGGAGAGGTCTGGACGCCCCCGAACAAAAATTATTCACTGCGTGGAGCTCCCCATATGTGCATCTCATGTTTTATGTCATGCCGTGGTGAGCGTCTGTTCATGAGCGGTCGACTACAATAGCGCGTCCACGTGGCGACAGGGCCGACGAAGACGAGTGACCCCTAATGCGAGTGATTGCGTATGAGTCAGAGTGAGCTTTGAGTATGGTTGAATGCGAGCCTCTTCCTCTTCATCCCCCTCCCTCAGCTGCCAGGCCTTCCCCTTTTCAGCCGGTGGTAGCTTTGGAGCTTCCCACATGTGCATATGTTGTAGGATAGTTGGCAGTGGGATATGTAAGACGAGCGTTCAGCCACACAAGGCCATAAGTGCATGTCATGTTGGAGGATAGTGCCACGGTGAGCATTTCCAGCGATCCCCGCACACAACCACCGCCCCCCCCTCGCAGTCACCCCCTATGAATACATATATATATGTCCTGGACTTCGGAACAAACGTTCTGCTCGCGTCAAGGACCTTCGAGCAAAGCGCCCTCCTCCTCCTCCTCCTCCTCCTCCTCCTCCTCCTGTTCCTCCGCCCCCTCCCTTCTCCTGCTCCTGCTCCTCCTCCTCATCCTCCTGCTCCCCCTCCCCCTCCGCACCCCCATGCCCTTCCTCACGATCCCCCGCCTCCTCCTCCTCCTCCTGTTCCTCCTCCTCATCCTCGTTCCTGTCATTTCCCTCCCTGTTGAGCCCAGAAACAAGCGAACCGCTTGAGACATCCCCACAATATGGCCGCGAACGTGCCCGTGCAACCACCCCTGGCGGCTCCCCATAGGGGTGCTGCAACCAGCGCCCCGCTTGAGACATCGTCACAATTTGCTCTCCAAGCGAAGGATGTTGAGCCCAGAAACAAGCAAAGCGCCTGAGACATCCCCACAAAATGGCCGCGAACGAGCCCGTGCAACCACCCCTGGCGGCTCCCCTTAGGGGTGCTGAAACCAGCGCCCCGCCTGAGACATCCTCACAATCTGCTCTCCAAGCGAAGGATGTTGAGCCCGGAAACCAAACCGCCTGAGACATCCCCACAAAATGGCCGCGAACGAGCCCGTGCAACCACCCCTGGCGGCTCCCCTTAGGGGTGCTGAAACCAGCGCCCCGCCTGAGACATCCTCACAATCTGCTCTCCAAGCGAAGGATGTTGGCCCAGAAACAGGCAAACCGCCTGAGACATCCCCACAAAATGGCCGCGAACGAGCCCGTGCAACCACCCCTGGCGGCTCCCCTTAGGGGTGCTGAAACATCGTCACTCGATCTGCTCTCCAAGCGAAGGATGTTGGGCCCAGAAACAAGCAAACCGCCTGAGACATCCCCACAAAATGGCCGCGAACGAGCCCGTGCAACCACCCCTGGCGGCTCCCCTTAGGGGTGCTGAAACCAGCGCCCCGCCTGAGACATCCTCACAATCTGCTCTCCAAGCGAAGGATGTTGGGCCCAGAAACAAGCAAACCGCCTGAGACATCCCCACAAAATGGCCGCGAACGAGCCCGTGCAACCACCCCTGGCGGCTCCCCTTAGGGGTGCTGAAACCAGCGCCCCGCTGAGACATCCTCACAAATCTGCTCTCC